GAACTGATGCTCTGCAATTTAGGCTAAAAGTGTCCTCTCCCTTATGGTGACCAGTCTAGATCCTCTAGGAAAAACCCTTGGTAGAAGATGGCAAGCAAGTGTGGACTCGCAGGCTCTCAGGGGCTTCAGTCCCACAGGTGGCATCATTGTGATCCTGGTGCTTCATGCAAGACCGGCCACTTCACATCTCTGTTAGCTACCTGTCTACAGGAGACCCACCCCTCTAGACCTATGTGTTCCTGTGTGTCTTTCCTGTCCTGTATACCCTTGGAATTGCCAAAGGTACTGAGCCCTTGGCAAATCCCAGCCTGACCTCATCATGCCGCCAGCTGACTCCTGCACTCAGGGCTGGAGAGATGTGGAAATGCCACCCAGCCCTGGTGACTGGATCCAGAGGCAGGATTTCCCCGTTACTGGACTTCATTTCAAATTCAAACATCGTCACAAGACTCCCTGAGGTCCTAGCTTGCTGCTGGATTAACCTTGGGTGGGTGGTTGATGAGTTTCAAATAACTCTCACTGCATGCCACATCTGGGCCCACTCAGCAAGGAAGAGTCGGGAGGTGGGTCTGGAGCAGGGCACAGCAGGCCCTGGGAGACAGTGGGAGGAGTTGGGGCTCCTGGTTTTGGAGTAGGACTTGCTTGCAGAATCCCCATTCATTAGGTATTTGCCAAAGGCCCTTTTGGTATCAGAAGCTGCATTGCAGTGGGACAGAGCCCTGCTCCCAGGACTCCCGGACTTCTTTCTGTTTGAGGCCTTGCCCTCTGCTCTATCCCCGGCAGAGGAAAGGCTGAGCTCTGCCAGCTCTAGACCCGAGGCTGTATCCCACAGTCTCACCCACCTCTCCAACAGTTCCCACAGAGAACGTGAGCCCACCCGTGGTCCAAGCCTTGCACCGGTGGTCCCAGCAACCTGAGGGCCTGCTCTCATGGGACACAATGGCCCAAGAAATAGGTTCACTGTTAGTGTTAACTTGCCAAAGGACACACAGAAATGAAAGAACCAGGGTTCAAAGCAGGTCCATGTGGTTGTCAAGCCACCGTGCCCACAGCCAGTGGTCAGTGTGCACATGCCCTCCACTGTCCAGAGGCCAAGGGGGGGAGAAGACTCCAGGGCGTGTGGTTCCCAACCCTGACTCTGCCCTGAGCCTGTCTCCTAAGTGCAGGCACCTGTTCCCTTCTGAGGAGGACTCGAGGTCCACCCCAGACCTGGCCAGAGCCCATTCCTAGTCTGATTTTGCCAGAAAGGAAGATTCAGGATCCCCTGGGAAGCAGATAGTGAGCGGCTGACGTTTCTGCATAGAGACACCAGCCTGCGGTTAGAGCCTCAGCCCCACACAGCTGGCATCACCACCCAGGGGCCCCTCTGCCTGCCTGTCAGCAGTGACTCGGGGCCCATCTACTCTAGGCACCAGGCGAGAACTGGCCCTGTGGGCTGGCCCCCGAGGCCTTATTCGCTGGGCCTGGCATGGGGGCCCAGGCTGCTCGCTCGAGAGGGGGCAGGAGGGCTTCAAGGTAAACTGGAGGAAAACTCCTAAGCAAGGGCTGACTTGTTCCAATTCTAGGATTCCCTCGGAAGCACTGCCTGGGCCTCAGGCTAAGATGCCAAACACCTCTTCACACAGCCTGTCTCCATGGCCCGCCTTGGGGATTTCCCAGTTGAGGAACTGGTCAGCCCAGCCCAGCTCCTCTGGGTAAGGCCTCCGTGTGGAGAAAGTGGCCTCTAGAGAGAAGCCAAGACTCTTGAGGCCAGACTGGGAAGCCCCACCTCTCCTCCAGTCTGTCCCAATGTAAGAGTTTCCCACTTTTGGGGCATTCATGCAGGCTGGCGAGGCCTCCCGTGTGAACCACCAATCACCATTCATTCTCATGTTGTTCAAGAACCAAGTAGTGCTAGCTGGGTGGCTCAGTTGTCCCGTGTTCCAAAAGGTGATGGGTTTGATTCCCGGTCAGGGCGCATACCTAGGTTGCAGGTTCCATCTCCAGTCCAGGCCCATACAAGAGGCAACTGAGCAATGCCTCTCTCCTCCCCCCAGCCCCCACTTCCTCACACATAAATATCCCCTGGTGAGGATTAAAAGAAAAAAGAGCCCAGCTGGAATGGCTCAGTGTTTGAGCATCCTATGGACCAGGAGGTCACGGTTTGATTCCTGATCAGGGTATATGCCCGGTTGTGGGCTCAATCCCCAGTAGGGGTGTGCAGGAGGCAGCCGATCAATGATGCTCTCTCATCATTGATATTTCTATCTCTCCCTCTCTCTTCCTCTCTCTGAAATCAAGTTTAAAAAAATGTTAAAAAATAAAGCAGATGATCCCAGTGGTTAGGAGCAGGGACCTGGGATCCAGACTGCCTGGGTTCAAGCCCCAGCTCTTTGCTTACCAGTTGTGGCAACCTATTTACCTCTTTGAGCCTCAGCTTTCCCATCTGTAAAGTGGGATGATAGTTGTACCTACCTGATCACCTCATTGTGAGGATAAGATGTGATCATAGATATAAAGCCCTCCTGACCCAGGGTAAGTCCTTCACCAACACGCACTTCACTGGGAAGTGGGGGGATTCCGGGGACTCGGTATTGTTCTCAGACCAATAGAACCTAGCTCTAGGTGACATGGAGCTAGATCTCTACTTTGTTAGAAACTGTACATTTTCCTATGTATTTCACAATTTAAAAGTTTTAAAACTTTAAAAGTTTGTATCTCACACTCCCCAATCTGATATTTATTCATTACCTCCTTCCTTCACTTACGTTTACTCCTTTTCTAATCATTTGGTTACCGGCAGCCAGTGCATAAAACTCAGTCCTATCTCATGGTGACAAAAGGCTGTCAGTCTGCTGAGGGTCACCACAGGGTAAAACGAGTTCTTATCACTTCGTGGCTTGGCCACTTCTCTGCCGGAGGCCATGTGAGGGGCAAGGCGAGCCATGGGGAGGCCACAGGAGGGAAGTGGAAAGGTAGCAGCTGCCAGCTCCCGGCTCCAGCCCAGCCGCTGTGGCTGGTATCCTCTGGCCAGGGCAGCCCAGCCAGGCAGTTATGCAAGAGTGGAAAGACTTCTGGGAGGAAGGGAAGGAAGTGCTAGGGCCACGGACCCTGAGCTCAGGAGGAGGTCCTGCTTGCCCTTCCCCTAGACATGCCCTGGTAAGCAATGCTGTGAGTATGACCTCTGCAAAGGGATCTCAAGCAGCACCTGAGGGACAGGGCAGACCAGAGACTAACAGAGTCCATCAGGAAGGGGCCATTTACTGAATAATTAAAGGGCAGCCTCTCAGCACTGAGCCCAGTGCTCTGTGCCAGGCCCTCCCTCCTGATGTGAAGCCATTCAGTCCATTCATTGTTTTCAACTTTTTATTAAAGTAAAACAGACCCAGAGAACAAAGCCATCCACAAATTTCCTTGCGTGGGGCTACATTACTTTTCAGAAAGTGCGCACACTTGTGGAACGAGCATCCTTATCAAGAAAAGGCCCATCACCTGCGGCCTCCTGCTCCCCCCGTCAGTACCGCTCCCACCAGGTCACGCTGCCTTCCAACCCCCCAGACCAGTGTGGGCAGCTGGCGCTGGTAGACATGTTCTGCAGGTGCACTTCCCCCTGCCATCCCTCCCACCACACTGTCGGAAGGTTCGCCCCTGTGTGTGGGGGTTCCGTTTGTTTCATTGCTGAGCAGTGTATCCTGCTGTGTGGGAAGGTCCTTGATGCCTAATGGAAAGGACTTGCAAGACTTGTCACACCCAGGCTGGTGACCTGCAGGTGGGAGGGAGCAGCAGCGACTGAAGGGGACCTTCCAAACAAGTTCTTCTGAGCCAGACGCCAACCCAGCCCTCGCCCCCAATAGTCCAGGGGGAACCCATGGCTCTGAGTGCTCTCGGTGCCCACTGCCTTTGTCATGTCTCAATTTTGCAATCTGCCCGTCTGGGCCACAAACTGGCCTCAAACTGGCCTCTCTCAGGTATGCTGCTCCCCCCCCCCTCCCTCACCTCTTCCTCCCAAATCCCCTTCTGGGCAGAGATGGCCCCATTTCACCCAGGAGGACACAGCCAGCTCTGAGGGCCCATTCTTTTTTTTAAAATATATTTTATTGATTTTTTACAGAGAGGAAGGGAGAGAGATAGAGAGTTAGAAGCATCAATGAGAGAGAAACATCGATCAGCCACCTCCTGCACATCTCCCACTGGGGATGTGCCTGCAACCGGAATCGAACCTGGGACCTTTCAGTCTGCAGGCCGACGCTCTATCCGCTGAGCCAAACTGGTTTTCGGCATGAGGGCCCATTCTTTGACCAGGATTTGAACTCAGGTCAGAAAGTCTGTCCCAGCTGCCACTGGCCCTCAGCCGGGCTCACACAGGGATGTGCTCCTACCCTTGCACACACAGGCCCTGGAGGCGTCCATTCATTCAGCAGTGAGTGAGGCAGCCGCTCTCCAGATGTTGAAGGGGGTCCACTGGGTGCCAGAGCAGGCCAAGTCCTGTGCTCATGGGGCTCACACTCCGGCAAACATGAAATGGTAATTTGCCAGTTGTGGGAAGTACCCTGAATAAAAACAGAAAGATGGTCGGGGAGGCATGAAGTTTTACTATTTTATGTGTAGTTATCATGGAAGGCCGCTCCGAGGAGGTGCCATTGGAGCAGAAACCTAGAGAACGCGAGGGAGGGAGTTACAGGTCTGTGGGAGATGGGCCGGGGGCGCGGGGGGCAGCCCGCTGTGTTTGGGGGCGGCAGAGGCCATTGGGGGGTTGCGGGGGGGCAGAGGCCGCCACCAGGAGCGGTGGTGAGGGAGTCCCCACCTGTGAGGCCTTGCGGGCCACGGGAAGTCAGGACGAGGACAGGCTTGTCCCCGCAACCAATGCGTGCGAGCGGCCGTCCGCGTCCCGCAGTGGGGGCCCGGGGAGACCCAGCCGATGAAAGAAGGAGGAAGCCCGTTCTGCGCCCTCCGCCCCTCCTGCCCCAGCCCGGCTGACAGGGGCCACTTCCTCCTTCCAGCCCATTTAAGGCCCAGCCCGGGGCGCCCGGGCCAGAGCGGCCGCGCAGCGCGCCATGGGGGACACCTTCATCCGCCACATCGCCCTCCTGGGCTTCGAGAAGCGCTACGTCCCCAGCCAGCACTACGTGAGCAGTGGATGGGGGGCGGGGGGCCCCGGACCGCGGGGGTGGCAGGGCGAGACCGCGGGCGAACGGCTCCCTGTCTCCGGGCCTCAGTCTGCCCGTCGGGGTCCGCAGTGGACGTGGGACCCTGAAAAGGATGCGCGCCCGAGCACCCGGCCCTGCCAGCCCACCTCACTCCGCGCCCCAGCCGAGTCCCCTCTCCACTCCCGTACCCTACCCGGCAGCCAGCCCGCGCTCAGGCCCAGGGCGTGCGCCCCCACCTCCGGGCAGCCCTCCCTGACCACCCCGGCTTTAGGGAGAGGTCCTCCCGGAGGGGGGCGGGCTCTCCATCCCCGCAGTCTCCCCGCAGCCGCGTGGGGACTTGGGGGAGTGTCTGTCCAGACATCACACCCCATATAGGGTCCCCAAGCCCAGAGGAAGGCCGGGGAAGATCTGCATTCTCTTTTCTCTGCTCCTCCTCTCCCTCTCCCCCTCCCTCTCTCCCTCCTTCCCTCCCTGGTCCCTTCTGTCTCTGAATATAAATTTCCTGAAACACTTGAGAGCTGAGTTGGAGCAGTTGTTTCATAACCTCCGAACACTGTGGTGTGTGTTGCTTAAAATCAGCGACTTTCTCTTACAGAGCCAGGGTGCAAATGTGTCAAAATGAGGAAATGAACATTGATAAACACTGTAATCCAACCCACACATCTTATTCAGATGTCACCTGTCCTCTGTGCTGTAAGACTGTTTCAGGTCCAGGATCCAATCCCAGATCACCGGTTCCAAGTCAGTTGTCCTGTCTCTTCAGCCCTCCTTCATCCGGGTCAGTCCGTCTTCCTTTGTCCTCTCGACTTGGCCGTTTTGAAGAGATGGGACCCGTTATTTTGTAGACTGTCCCTCGATTTGGGTGTGTCTGATACTTCACTCGATTCAGGTTATGCACAGATGGCGCTGGGTGATGCTGGGTTCTTCTCATCGATCCTACAGGTGGCAGGGGACTGTGACTGGTTCCCATATTGGCGGAGAGCATTGGGCACCAAGGCCTGGACAAGTCCTCCAAGTTCCTCTGCTGTACAGTTACTTTCCCCCACTTTGTTTTAAATAGACTAACCTGTGGGGAGATATTTGAAGATATGTGAATATCCCGTTCCTTATAGTAACTGATGGCTGAATCAGATGACTACAATGATTGCTACATGGTGATTTTTACACTCAATCATTCCTTCTGCATTTATCACTCAACATTTTCTGCAAGGGCCTTCCCTTCTCCTTTTATTTGTTTACTTCTGCCGATATGGATCCATGGATTCTGATTTTATTCAATGGATTGTAATCCATTACTATCATAATTTATTTTTATGCTCAGATTGTACCAGATTTGGTCAGTGGGAGCTCCTTCAAGCTGGCTTCTGTGCCTGCCATTCTTTGGGCACATTCTTACTTCTGGCACAAGATGGTCCAGGTTACTCTCCCAGGCCCAGCCCTGGACTCAGCCATGTTGCTAAGGACCCCTGATTCTTTTTAGTGGGAAGTGATATTAGAACCCAAGATCTGGAAGCTAGGTGTGCTCACTGCCACTGAGGTGTCATCGCTCGTGTCCTTCGAGTAGACAGACTGGGGAAAGCAGCCATTTCATTTCATTCTTGCCTTTCACCATTTTTTATTTGTAGCTCCTTTTTCTCACTGTGAGAAGCCTGGCTCCCAACAACATCCTTATATTTACTTCTTTGCTCAATTCAACAAAACACATCCACTTGTTTCAGAATTACTATGCCCATACCACTATTGCAATAAACCTACTAACCTATTAAGTCAAATGTAAGTTTTCTTTTTTAAAAAAATATATTTTAAAAATTGATTTTACAGAGAGGAAGGGAGAGAGATAGAAACATCAGTGATGAAAGAGAATCATTGATCTGCTGCATCCTTCATGTCCCACACTGGGGATGAAGCCCACAATCTGGGCATGTGCCCTGACCGGGAATCAAACTGTGACCTCCTGGTTCATAGGTTGGCGCTCAACCGCTAAGCCATGCCAGATGGGCAAGTTTTCTTTTTTTTAAATCCTCACCCTAGAATATTTTTTCCATTTTTTTTTTTTTTAGAGAGAGTGGACGGGAAGGAGGGTGGAGAGAGAGAGAGAGAGACAACAATTGGTTGCCTCCTTTGCAAGCCCCTACTGGGGTTAGGGATCAAACCTGCAACAAGGTACGTGCCCTTGAATGGGAATGGGATCCTTGACCCTTCAGTGCATGGGCCAATGCTCTAACTGCTGAGCCACCGGCCAGGGCAAATTTAAGTGGTTTTTTTGCAGTTCTTTTTTTTTAATATATATATTTTATTGATTTTTTACAGAGAGAAAGGGAGAGGGATAGAGAGTTAGAAACATCAATGAGAGAGAAACATCGATCAGCTGCCTCCTGCACACGCCCTACTGGGGATGTGCCCACAACCAAGGTACATGCCCTTGACCGGAATCAAACCTGGGACCCTTCAGTCCGCAGGCCAACGCTCTATCCACTGAGCCAAAGCGATCAGGGCCTAATGTATTCTTCATTTCAGTTATTGTATTCTTCATTTCGGGCTGGTTCCTTTTTGTGGTTTCTATCTTTGTTAAATTTCTCACTGAGTTCATCTATTCTTCTCCTCAGTTCACTGAGCATCCTTATAACCAGTGTTTTGAACTCTTTAGAATGTTTTGTCTCTGTCTCATTTAGTCCTTCTTCTGGGGTTTTGTCTGCGTTTTTCATTTGAAACACATTTCTCTGCTCGTTTTGGCTGTCTCTGTGTTTGTTTATATGAATTAGGTGAACCAGCAACCTCTCCTGGTCTCGAACGAGTGGCCTAGTGCAGGAACTTCCCTTTTGCAGAGTGTGTGAGCCAGGTGCACTTGGCAAGCCTGCTGGTGCTGAAACCTGGAGCTGGAGCACTTGTGGGCCTTAAGGGAGTCCTGGGGGCAAGCTCACTGGGGCCTGGAGCTGGAGCTGGAATGGGTCTGGGCCAAGGGAAGTCACTGGGGCAGGCTGCGGCAGGACTGCCTTGGCTGGCTTAGGCTTCATGTAGGCCCTGGGGAGAAGCTGAACCAGGGTCTGGAGCTGAACAGGAGCAAATGGGAGCCTCAGGGGCTGGAGCTGGTGGTCCGTGAGGTCTGAAAGCTTGGCGACTGCTGGTCCACAGCAAGTTCCGGGGCAAGCCACACCGGGCAGAAGTAGTAGCTGTGGCAGGTGTGAAGCTGAGGAGAGTCTGGAGGCAAGCAGTGCAGTGGGCCTGGGGTGCACTGGGATGGCCCTGGCCTACAGCTGGAGTGTCTGGATCAAGAAGTGGGGGCACACGGTGTGTGTCCGCACGGTGCTCCGCCTTTAATCTTTGAGCCTCCTGTGAGGTCGGACTGTGGTGGTCCCCTTTTACAGCTGAAGAAATAGAGGACCAGAGAGGTTAGGGGCTTTGCCCACTACCACACAGCAGATAAGGAGGGAGGGCCATGTGGGGTCCGCTGCTGGGCCGCCCACCCCCGCCCACCTGCTCCCCCCGCAGGCTGCAAGGGCAGTAACCCAGGCATCCCGTGGAAATCCTCTCCCCGACTCACAGGCAGGAAATCAAGGCTCAGAGAGGGGTGTCCAGGTGCTTCTCACCCGCACGGCTCTATTCCGGGCCCTCTTTTTTCTTGAACTTATTTTGTTAATGAGGTGAAATTCACATAATATAAATGTAATGATTTCAAGTGGAAAAAAAAAAAGAAGTGGGGCACAGCCCTGGCCAGTGTTTCTAAGTGGTTAGAGCGTTGGCCCACGCACTGCAGGGTTGTGGGTTCAATTCCAGGTCAAGGGCACGTACCTGGGTTGCAGGTTTGATCCCCATCCCTAGTCAGGGCCTGTGTGGGAGGCAACTAATCTTATGTCAATGTTTCTCTCTCTCTCTCCATCCCTCCTTCTCTCCCTTCCACTCTAAAAAGCAATGGGGAAAATATCCTCAGGTGAGGATTAACAAAACGAAAGAAAGAAGTGGGGACACACATGGTGCTCTGTTGCCCTCAACCTCAGAGAGAGTTTCTGCAGTTCCTCTCCCACTTGGCAAACGCTCTAGGGCAGCGGTTCTCAACCTTCTGGCCCTTTAAATACAGTTCTTCATGTAGTGACCCAACCATAACATTATTTTCGTTGCTACTTCATAACTGTAATGTTGCTACTGTTAGGAATCGTCATGTAAATATCTGATATGCAGGATGGTCTTAGGCGACCCCTGTGAAAGGGTGGTCGGACCGCCAAAGGGGTCGCGACCCACAGGTTGAGAACCGCTGCTCTAGGATTAGTGAATGGATTTCCTTCCTGTGTGGCCTGGGTATCCTTTAAACCAGCGGTCGCCAACCGGTGGTCTGCGGTCCTTTTGTTGAGGTCCAGAAGGTTGGCAGCCGCTGCTTTAAACTACCGTTTTTAAGCTGTACCTCCGGGTGGGCGCCCGCAGGCCGGTGTGCAGGGTGGGGTGCCCACCTGCCTGCACCCTGTGCTCCTCCCTGTTTCCGGGTGGTCTCTCTTGTTGGCGGTGCGGAAGCTCTTCAGTCAGCCCTCAGCTCTTCTGCAGGGGGAGCTGCTCTGTCTGTTGGTGTAAAGTTGATGTGTTCCTGGGAGGAGGCGAGCTCAGCGTTGTTATCTTGGAGCTGAAGCCCCTCCTTGTTGGTTTACTTTTATTTTTAAATATGTAAAATATTCACATGTGATCAGACATCAAAATGTTATAAAAATATGACCAAACACTCATTCTGGTTCATCTTTTCTGTATTTCTCTTTACAAAAATAAGTGGAACTATATGAAATTTTCTTATTGTTTCTTCCTTACGACCACAGATAACAAACCAGGTGACATATGTTCATCTTTCATTTTCCTATAACATCCTGGAGTTACCTCCAAATTCATTGCGTCTCTTGGGTATTTTTTTTTTCATCTTTAAATATCCCATTGTATGACTCTACCATTGTTTCTTCAAACAACCATTTAGATTGTTTTTCACTAATTTGCAATTACCTAGTCACCCTGCATTTATGTTGTTATGAGAGAAGCCAAACACCTCTTTATGTATTTAAGGGTCACATATATACACGTGTGTGACATGAATTGTCTGTTCATACCTTTTGCTTATTTTTCTATCAGATTTTTTTGGTCTTTTTTTCCTTCAAATTAAAAAAAATTCTTTATATATTGGAAATATTAACCCTTTATGTGCGATGTGTGTTTTTTTTTACAGTCAATTGATTTAGTTTTTTCAATTACAGTTGACATTCAGTATTATATGAGTTCAGGTGCACAGCATAGTGGCTAGACGTTTCTGTTGCGTATGGAGTGATGCCCTGAGAAGTCTAGTGCCCCCGACACCATACGTAGTTATGACAATATTACTGACCACACTCCCTGTGCTGTACTTTATATCCCTGAAGCTATGTAGTAACTGCCAACCTGCTGTCATCTTAAAGAGGCGCCCTGAGGAGAAACCCGAGAGACTGACAATTTACCTGAAAGCTGTTTCAGTTATTGCATCAGACGAAAATTCCTGCATTGGGTTAAATCTACTTCTTTTTTAACTTTACCCTTTGTGTGTGGGGTAGATCAGGAAAGTTGGATTGCGGAATTAACTACTGATAAAATAATTCTCCCCAACCCCGAATAAATAGGCGACCCCGTGAGACTTTGATAAAACTGTCAATTTTTAAAACGTTTCCCTTCTGTGATTTCCCCCAATCCTTGGAGCTGTTTCTATGGAAGTGTGATGGTGCTGAGTGGCAACTCACCTGCCCAGCTCACCTGCCCAGCTCACCTGCCAGCTCACCTGTCCAACTCACCTGCCCAAATCACCTGCCCAGCTCACCTGCCCAATTCACCTGCCCAACTCACCTGCCCAACTCACCTGCCCAATTCACCTGCCCAGCTCACCCGCCCAGCTCACCTGTCCAACTCACCTGCCCAATTCACCTGCCCAGCTCACCTGCCCAGCTCACCTGCCCAGCTCACCTGCCAGCTCACCTGCCCCTGCTGCATTTCCTGTGCTCTCTGGAGGAGAGTATTTATTCATTATATAATGTTGCCATAAAGAACAATGAAGATAAACTTCTGTGGTGTGTATTGCAAATATTTTCTCCCAGTTTACCATTTGCATTTTGGCATTGCTTATGGTTTCATACACAAAATTTGAAAGAATGTTAAGGTATTTGAAATAACAATCTTCTAGTGCCTTTTGGTTTTGAGTCCGTTAGAAAGTCTCGTCTACCAATGTTTCCTTCTTGTGTTACTGACTAAAGTTGGTGGGTCCTTTGCCCCAGCACACAGAAAGGCCAGACACTGAAACAGCAGGTTTTTCACAGACAAAAGGGAGTTTTATTCCTGAGGTAGACAGGTGAGGAGACAGGGAGTAAGCCCAAATCTGTCTCCCAAATAAAGATTTGAAGTAAATTTAAATTTAAAGAATTAGGGTGAGGAGGGGCTATGCATAGTCATCAGTTCTAATCCAGGGTCTGAATAGTGTGGGAACTAAGCCATCTAAGGTAAGGAGCGTGGAAGGGCAGGACAGAATGAGGTCATGTCAGCCCGGCAGAGTCTATTGGTTAGTCCTATACGTGTCCGTATTTGATCTAGACATCCCATCTTCCTGACTGACAAACCTCGAGCTTCTTCAAGGGTCAGGTAGCAGCCCAGCTGTTGTCGCTCAGTGGTCGAGCGTTGACCTATGAACCAGGTAGTCACAATCCGATTCCTGTCAGGCATATGCCTGGGTTGCAGACTTGATCCCCAGTGTAGGCATTCAGGAGCAACTGATCAATGATTCTCTCTCTCATCATTGATGTGTCTATCTCTCTCTTTCTCCCCCTCCCTTCCTCTCTGAAATCAATAAGAATATACATTTTTTTAAAAAAGAGTCAGATGGCCAACAAGGGTGCTGTTACCTGAGTTCCGAGGACTTGGTTCCGTGGTGCTCTACAGGTCTGCCGAGGGTCATTGGACTGCTAACTGCGCCTGCTCCAGCCTCTGGGACCAGCCTAGTCTGGTGGTCTCTGGAGGACTGTGAGGAGGCCTGGTGTTAATCTGCTGAAAAACATTACAAATAAACAGAGAGAGAAAAACTGTTACGGTCTGGTTTCGGTCTGAGGTCCTCGGGGGCCACCTGGTTTCAGTGTAGGGGGCCCGGGTTCGTTGCACTCACCTGGTTTCAATTTTTACATTTATGGCTCTGATCCACTTGGAGTTGATTTCTGCTGTGTGGTGTGGAAAACAAATCCAGTTTTCCCTTTTCCTAAAAGGCGTGTCGGTTGTCCCAACACCAATTTTGTAAAAATCCACCTTTACATCTGTGATTGGAATTGCCACTTTTTTCATATCCTAAATTTCCATATGTACTTGATCTATTTCTAGATTTTCTATTTTTATTGTTCATAGTACCACATTGCTGTTTTTTTGTTATTGTGATTAAAAAATATATATAATAAAATTTACCATTTCACCTTTTTGTTGTTGTTAATCCTCACTGAGGACATTTTCTCCATTGATTTTTAGAGAGAGTGGAAGAGTGGGAGGGAGAGAGAGCAGGCCTGGATCAAGTCTGCACCCCAGTAATTGACCAGTAATTGAACCTGTGACCCTTCAGTGCTCCAGCTAATGCTCTAACCAGTGGTCGGCAAACTGTGGCTCGCGAGCCACATACAGCTCTTTGGCCCCTTGAGTGTGGCTCTTCCTAAGCCTTAGGAGTACCCTAATTAAGTTAATAACAATGTACCTACCTATATAGTTTAAGTTTAAAAAATTTGGCTCTCAAAAGAAATTTCAATCGTTGTACTGTTGATATTTGGCTCTGTTGACTAATGAGTTTGCCGACCACTGCTTAGAAACACCACCCAGGGCCCATTTCCACCATTAAAAAAATATTTCTTTAATTGATTTTAGAGAGGAAGGGAGAGATAGAAACATCAATGATAAGAGAGAATCATTGATTAGATGTCTCCTGCACACCTCCCACTGGGGATCGAACCTGCAACCCGGGCATGTGCCCTGACTGGGAATCAAATTGTGACCTCCTGGTTCATATGTTGATGCTCAACCACTGAGCCACAGCAGCCAGGCTTAATTATTTTTTAAATAATGGCTTTATTGAGATATAATTTCCATGCTATACAGTGCACCTATGTAAAGCATACAGTGGTTTTTAGTACTAGTATGTGCATAGAGTTGCACAATCATTGCAATAATCAATTTTAGAAGATTTCCATCACCCTCCTCCCCCCCAAAAAGCCTGTACCTGCTAGTGGTTATTCTTCCCCCATACCTGGCAACCGCTAATCTACTTTCTGTCTTTATGGACTTGTCTATTCTGGACATTTTATGTACATGGAACAATACAATACCTTACTGGGTTCTTGTATTGTTTGAGCTCAGCGCTTTCTGTATCTTATCTCCTGAAACTCTCTCATACCAGCCCTATGGTGAGGTCCTACTTTTATCTCCAATGACAGGTGAGGAATTGGAGAGAGGCGATCATCTTGTCCTGGGTCTTAAAGCTGGAGAGTGGCAGCTCTGGGGTCCCTGAATTCAGTGTCTTTTCTATGGTCACGTTGCCCCACAGAGCGCTCTGTCCCCAGTCCTTCAGGCTTCACTTGGGGGCGATGCCTCCTTGGAAGCTGAACGAGGCCCTCCCACCCCCAGGTGTACATGTTCCTGGTGAAGTGGCAGGACCTGTCCGAGAAGCTGGTCTACCGGCGGTTCACCGAGATCTATGAGTTCCATGTGAGTACTCTCCTGGGGTCAGGGGGTCAGGGAGGGACAGCACACCCAGTCCCAGCTCTGCCTCTTGGGGAGGAGAGAGACCCAGGTGCTGCCTGGGAGCCGAGGCGCCCGGAGTCTGTCCTCACCAGCCCACAGTTAAGGGGGAATTTCTTAAACTTTAAGAAACATTTTACTTAATATATTTTTATTGTGGTAAAATGTGCATAACATAAATTTGCAATTTTAACCATTTAAGTACAGCTCGGTGGCATTAAGTATATTCACAATGTCATATGCTGATCATGACCATCCATCTCCAAAATGTCTTCATCTTCCCACACAGAAACTCTGTGCCCATTCCATTCTTTAGGGACATACTTGATATACACTGAGTGGCCAGATTATTATGACCACCCCATCAGTACAATGAAGTGAATTAGTTATGCAAATAATAATAATGATAATAACAAAACCTTGAGAGTATTTGCTTAGGAAGTTTTCAATATGCAGTATTTTTGGAAGTGTCAATGAAGTACTGATGGGGTGGTCATAATGATCTGGCTGGTCGTAATAAACTGGCCACTCAGTGTATGTAGGGTGAGAATGGGAATAGCACATGCAAAGGCCCTGGGGCAGGAGTGGGCCTGGCGTGTTCAAGGTTGGCTGGAGCACAGTGTACCAGGGGGAGCGTGGTGGCAGAAGGGGTGAGTGGGGTGGGCAGGGCCAGGTCTAGCAGGGCCTTGCAGACCAACATGAGGCCTTTGGCTTCCACTCTGAGGGAGCTGAGAGGCGGGTAGCGTTCTGAGCAGAGGAGGACAGGATCAACTTAGGTTTTTTTTTTTTTTTATATATATATTTTTTATTGAATTTTTACAGAGAAGAAGGGAGAGGGATAGAGAGTTAGAAACATCGATGAGAGAGATCGATCAGCTGCCTCCTGCACAGCCCCTAGTAGGGATGTGCCCGCAACCAAGGTACATGCCCTTGACCGGAATCGAACCTGGGACCCTTGAGTCCGCAGGCCGACGCTCTATCCACTGAGCCAAACCGGGTTCGGCCCAACTTAGGTTTTA